TATTACACGAAATGACTTCAATTGGTTTTTTCAAAACTAAAAATGTTAATAGCAATCCAAATCAGACGACAGTTTCTGTAAATAATGAAAATTTCAAGAGCTATTTTTCTAAAATTTAAATCATTTTTCAAACTTTAAAATGATCGTAGTACAAAATGAAATTGGAGCAAAAATTACTTGATTATAATCTGTTGATAAATTTCCGAAAACGCATTAAAAATAAATGAAATATTATCGCATTAAAATATTACTGTTAATAACCACATAAAAATTATGAAAGCAAAAAATCTGCAGTTTTTTCAAACCACCTAATCATTTTTTCTTCCAAAAAAAATCTTCATTTCAAAGAACAGAAAGAACGATTCGAAATTGACAGCGACAACACTATGACATTTCGAAAGAATGAAGTGTCTCCGCGGTGCGTATACCAGCGCTTTGATTGGCTGGCTATTTCGCAATCAGTTCAACACAGGACCAAATGACTCGCCATTTCATATTCTCACTCCAAGCGAGATCGATGAACCGAATCATATGGAATAACCAGAACTAGTTTTCTGAAAAGGTAAATGTACATAATTAATTAAAACATTAGTAGAAAATGTGACATCATATGTTCAGATTAGAAAAATCCAATGAAAATAACGCGAAATGCCCAGTGATAATACAATTACTACCGAAAATTGTGGATATTTAGTGTTTATGCAATCAGAATAGCGTTCAATTCAAATCAAAGCGTGAATCCATATTAACCCCGTCTAAAGTTCTTTTCTTTCAAATTTATCGGTTTTAATGCAATTATTCAGCACTGAAAGTTCGATCTCTTTTCTAAGTAAACTAAATGTTGATTTTCGCGACTTTCTTGATCGTTTTGAGTATAAGATTAGACTCGAAAATGCATTAAAACATTAGAAGAATTAAAGCATTTAGAATAAATTTTTTTATATAATAGATTTAATGATTGAAGGAGCATTCGTGTAGCTTCAGATAAAAACTATTATAAAAAAGTAGTTCTTTTTCCAATTTTTTTTTCACGGCAAAATATTCACAAACACAGTTAGAAGTTTAAATTTCATAATGCAGAAGAGTTTAAATTCGGCATTTCCAATGAAGAAATCTCATTGGAGTTTGCTTTGCTTTTGTGTTTGTTTGTTTCCAATCATATTTTTTGTTTAAAAGGTCAATTGCAAAATGAACTCTCAGAGGGAAAAGAGAATTGAGTCACAAACGGAGAATAATTCGAACGGTATTCAACCGATATCGAAAGTAAATCGGAGATAAACAACCGCACAGCCTAGCCAAAAATCCATAGAATGCTCAAATTTTTGCGCAGTTCTTGTCAACACAAAACCAGCCATTGTTGCATTATAAAACATGTGTTTTCATGCATCGACAATCGAACGGTTCTCATTCGCGATACAATGGCTGTTTTTGTGTTGACAAGAACTGCGCAAAAATTCGAGCATTCTATGGATTTTTGGCTAGGCTATGCGGTTGGTTATCTCCGATTTACTTTCGATATCTGTTGAATACCGTTCGAATTGTTCTCCGTTCGTGACACAATGCTCTTTTCCCTCCGAGAATTCATTGTGCATAAGACCTTTTGCATGAAAAATTTGATTGGAAAAAAACACAAAAGCAAAGCAAACTCCAATGAGATTTCTTAATCGGAAACTGAGAGCCGAAATAAGCAACATTTTGTTCGTACTTGTGTTAGTGAGTGTATGAGTGTCGCTGTCGAGTTAGCGGTATTATTCGATGCAAAGTCAACTCATCAAATGAAAAGTATTAAGGTAGCATACCAAACGCACAATCGCCAAGGAAATACTGAGAAACAAGTGCGCTACTCCAAATCGAGACGATACATTATTGTGCGACACTTTTTTGTCCTGTCCACACTTCCAGTGTCGATTGAATTGCAATACTGAATACTGTATACACATTGTTAAATTGGATTTTATGCGACGACATTAGTTGCCATTGAACTGAATTTGATCGAAATATTGTTTGATTTCTGATGAAAATCGTTGGGGAACTAGCATTTTCTTATTGTTTGAGAGTCATTTATAGTATGAGCACTTGGAGAAAACCGTAATATAATAAAATCTGTTCTCTTGCTCTCTCTCCGCCAACAAAGCGACCAGCTCGAGCTGGAGGTGTAACTCGTAATGCAAATGGCGTCGATGACCCTGGAGCAGGAACGAGTCGTCAAGTTCAACAATCGACTACAGTG